CTGCTTGCGCATCTCGCTGGTGCGCTGCTCCCACACCGATTTGGCGGGCTTCTGGTTCTTCTGCTGCTCCTTCCTGCAAAGCACGAAGTGGGCTGCATGCTGTACCGTGCGGCCGTGTCGGATAACAAGGGCTGCGACCCTCACCCCCGTGGGTTCGTTCAACATTTATTACATTGATGTGTTTGTATGTGGGTGTTCCCTGTTCGGTTCTCTTCTTTCTCTGTGTGAGCTCCTAGGGACTGAATTCAGGTCTTTACCAGCGGAGCCATCTTACTGACCTTTCCATTTGGATTGCTGATTAGGTCAGTTTCCCACATCCGCTTCCCTTCAGGGATGTGGCTCTGAATGAGGGTGTTTGAGAACCTTCCTTTAATGAAGACAGTTTCCCTGTTACTGCCTCTGATCCACAGAGAAATAAATGTCTGCCCTTCCTTTAGGTATGACTTGAAACCAGCGGCACCCACCACCCTACCCTGCTCAGTCCTCATCACATTGGCATGGGCAGCCCAGGATCTTGAATCTGATCTTCAGGCCCGCATAACCATCCCCACCCCAAGGCTGTCATCCCCAAGAACAACCAGAGGGCGCCTGCGAGCATTCAAATCTGGTCTAGACACTCCACTGCTCAAGAGCCCTCTCTGGCTCTCACTTAATTAGGAGCCCAAACCCCTGAAACCAGAGCCCGAGTTTTCTAGATGGCCTCCAAGGCCTTGCCTACTCTGTTCTTACATCACATCTGTCTCCTCACCCCTTTCCCAGCCATGCTAGTGTCTTCCCTATTCCTGAAACACCCCGCCTCAGAGCCTTCCTTCCCTCTCTTGCTGGCTCTCTCATCTCCTTTGAGCTCTGTTAGGCTGAGGCCCTGCCTAACACGGTTGTTTGTCTTCTGGAGACAGGATGTTACTAAGCCTAGTCTGGATCCAGCTGTCCTTGAACTCATACAGACCCGTTCCTGCCTCCAGAGTGAGGTGTATGCCACCACACCTGGCTATAAAGTCACAACTTTGGGGGCTGGAGTGAAGCTCAGTGGCAGAGCACTGGCCTGGGATGCACACACAGGGCACAGAACAGCAGTGCAGCCCAGATTCCCCTCCCTGCCCCTTCCCAGCTGCTCCTTGGAGGCTCCACAGTGAGTCATTTATTCACCTGTCCTGCTCACTTATCATCTCCTGCACTCAAACAGCTACACACAGGTGTCCCGAACCCCAACAAGGATGCTTCTTTCCCAGCAATTACAACAGGACCAGGTGCATAGTAGATGTTCATTAAATACCCAGTGACAGTGGGTGACAGGACAAAGGCACCTCCCAGGCTCAGCATTTAGGGGCCACCTTAACCCTCCCCACATCCTTGCCTGAACGGCACCAGAGGCTTGGGGACACTTACACAGCTATAGACATGTTGGCCGCAGACAGGGGACTCACTTCTGCTACCTCCTTGGCTTTCTGTAGTGCCAGTTTCTGGTTGGCTGCCTCCTCCTCCTCTTGTTCATCCTAGGAAGCAAATGGGATTCATGTTCACAAGAACAAGCCTGGGGGCTCACTTCCCACTTTGCTGCCAGCCAGGGGCAAAATCTGAAGTACTGAGAACCAAGTTTGGCCTGGGCCTTAACCAGTTGGAACTAAGGTCCCTAGTCAGACTGGGTGGTGAAATGTATTGCCACCCCCTTGTGTGTGGGCTGGCTCACTAGCTTATTAACCCTTTAAGCCCAGGCTGGCCTTGAACTTGAGATCATCCTGGGCCAGCCTCCCCAGTGCTGGGATAATAGTCATATGCAAGCATGCCTGGCTCCCTCTACATCTGTCCCCCCAATTCCTTTTTTGGTGCTGGGGATGAACCCCAAGGCTTTGTGACAGCTAGAAAGGGGCTGTTACTGGGCTGCACCCCTAGTCCTGTGTCTGATCTATCATCAGCCTGTGGGAAGATGAGGGGAGAGGGCTGGGCTCTGTGCTTCAGTCCATTTCCTAGATGGTTGGGGAGTCAGAAAAACCATCAAAGGCTGGGCATGCTGGCCAAGCCTTTAATCCAGCAATTATGAGGCAGAGGCTGGTAGATTTCTATAAGATCAAGACCAACCTGGTCTACAGAACTAGTTCTAGAACAGCCAGGGTTATAAAGTGAGATCCTGTCTCAAGGGGAAAAAAAAGAAGAAAAATCCACCAATGGAAAGACAGAGAGAAAACAAGTAAGAAACAGAAAAACAAACCCACCAATAAGAGGAGCCTTGGGGTGGGGTTTCAGGGTGGCTGCCACCACCTTCCGGGCTCTTCTAGGGCCAGGAATAACCTTCACCTTAAAATCTGTCAGTGACAGGGAAACTAGGCATCCCCTCTCCACACTGAAAACGCAGGTTCCCAGGCCCCAGCAGCACCTGCAGACCCAGCACCTCCTCTCAGATTCTACATTTTTCAGCAAGCTCTGGGGAGGGTATGAAGCACACTCAGGTTTGAGCACCTCGTATGTAGTGGAGAAAACCACAAGTTCCAGATTCAGACAGCCTGGGTTCAAATCCCAGCCTTTCCACTTACTGTGGTGCAACCTTCAGCAAATCTCTTAACTTGTGTGTCTCTTTATTACCTAAACTTCAAGGACCCCCTGACCCACTCCACTGTACTTTTCTCCTCAGCACTGTCTGATAAACATGGTTTACAAACATGTCTGATTTCTGGCCTGCCTCCACAGCCTGAATTCCTGAGCCAACAGGCCTTTGCTTCATTCACTGCTATGCCCCAGGCTTCTAGGCCAGGGCTATCTATGCTCACTGCAGGTGCTCAATACATTAATATTGGATGAGATGTATGTGTAGAGTAGGGCTTGAGGATTACAACCGTGAAACCTGTGTAACACGGATGAAGGGGAGGACTAGGGTTTGTAGGGGAGTGGCCACCTTCACTTTGGAATGTAGCTGGCCTGCCTTTCCATGCCAGCCTCCTGTATTTTGTATGCCTGTGATGATACATGCCAGACAGCTTCATGGTGGCTCAATTCTTGGCTTTGTGCCTGGGGTGGGAGACTTCCGCTTTTCCCTGCCGGAGGTGGGGCTGGGAAATCCTCCCTCCCTCCTGCCAGGGCCAACAGATGGAGGGTTGGCAGCCCCTACCCCTGTAGTCCTACTGTCTTGAGTTCTGAGGCACTGGGGATGAGGCTGTGAAGCTGAAAGGAGCCCCAAGGCTGGGAGGAAGACCTGGTCTGCAAGCATTGCTAGTGTGTTTTAATTTTGCAAAGCTAGCCATAACTGCAAAGAAAAAGCCTCTGTCCCTGGCACCAAGTACCACCTCTGTGGTTTCTTCTCAAAGGCAGATGCACCCATCTCTGGACACACAGCCTCCACTGGCAGCCCTGTTCATGGGCTATCCCCACCAGGGAGCATGAGATGTATTGCTGAAAGCAGTGTTACCTCCCATCTCCTGTGCCTGACTGATGGAGACCTGATGATACCTAGGCTGCCTTGAGTGGTATGTCACATGGTATCCCCAGATAATTCACTATTGCTGAGTATGAATGAAACCTGGGATTCCATCTCACTCAGGTGGCTTTTCTTCCCACCTCCAAATTCTCCCTGTCCCATCTCACCTCCTCAGCCCTTTGGTATATGGCACATCCATCTACCCTCCCTGGCCTCAATTTTCCCACCTGTGGAGTACTTGCAATCCTCCTGTCTCTGTGCTTTGCTCACAGGGATGTGCCACCATGCCTGCTGCATGCTGCTTTAGGTAGTGGACGAGGGACTTTGTGTCTGACCCTCCAAAGGGAGACTAGAGTAGTGCCTGGCACCAAACAACCACAGTTTTTCACTATTATCCCTTGGAAGACATTTCATCTGGCCAGCTCCTCAGCACATGGGCACAAGTGATAAATATGTCCTCAGCCCCATTCTCTGTCCTCCCAGGAAGCTGACCTGTGTGCATCCTGTCTCTTGGCCTCCTATCAACTGTCCCCTGGCAGGCTCCATATGGAAGCCAGAGGAGGGCAGAGTGGGAAGCATTCCTGGTTGCGGTATCTGAGTCTTGCCATGGTTCCTGTGTTTCCAGAGGTCCAGTGCTACCCGAAGCCTTATCAAGTCACTCCTTGCCTCGTGCCCATTACCCTGGAACTCCTTATTCCTCAAGCCCTTGGATGCAGCTGGCTCTGTGTCCTCAGTAGTCATCTTGCTATCCCCTTCACCTTCTGGGCTGTAAAGTGGCTTGATCAGGGATGGCATGGCTCCAGGAGATGTGCCTAGTGCTCCCATCCCCAGCGAGAGCCATGACCCCACCCCCACATCCCTCCAAACCCTGCTGTCATGATCTGCCACGAGCAGGTGGTCACTGTGTCCTCCACCTTGGTGAGTTCCTGGGCATTGGCCAGGTTGTCCACTGCGATGGCCAAGAACACATTCAGCAGGGTGTCTGTATGGCGAGTCAGGGAAAGCAGCCGATGGAAGTACCGCCTGGAGCCTGTGCATCTGGGTCCCTCCTCCTCCGCCCACACCCAGTCTGTCCCTGGCCCCCATGAAGGATACAGTTCCCAAACAGGGTGAGGACGATGAAGTAGATGGAGAACACCATGCCACCCTGCACGCCCCCCTGAGATTTGATCCCATCATACATGACCTCATTCCAATCCTCGCCCGTCAGGATCTGAAAGACAGAGACAAACACACAGCCAAATCCCTCTCAGCCAGCAACTCACTGGAGCCACAGCTGCAGCCACGGTCCGTCACCCCAAACCCCACCCAGGTCTTCATCAACCCCATGTGAACTCCTGTTTCTGTGCCTGTAACCGGGGGTTCTCAGCTTGGCTGTGGGAAATAGGGGACTTGCTGTAATCCTGTCTTCTCAGATGTGACACAAGCGTTTGTTGTGGGCTGAGTGGGTCAGGGCACAAGCTCAGCTCCCAGTGAGTTGGTATTTGGCAATTTAGCAAGACCCTATCTTAACAAACACACAAACAACCACAATTTTGAACTGCAGGGGCCCTGGGGATGTCACTCATTGGCAGAGTCCTTGCCTAGCTTGTCATTTAACATAGTTCTTGGACCTGTGAGAAGTAACTGGGATGACATGGGATTATGAGAGTGAAGCCTGTATGATTGTGGGGTTCCTGTTAATATAAGAAGAAAAAAGAGAGAGGGCTGGGGATGTAGCTCAGACAAGGTTTCTTCTGTGTAGCTCTGGCTGTCCTGGAACTCACAGAGGTCACCTGCCTCTGTCTCCCAAGTGCTGGGATTAAAGGCGTGCACCACCACTGCCTGGCCAAAACCTGGGGTCCTATCCCCAGGATTGCTTAAACCAGGCATGTGACACAAGCCTGTCATCTCAGCACTGGGGAGGTAGAGGCATGAAGAAGAGGAATTCAAGCACAGCCTTAGCTATATTGCTAGCACGAGGCTAGCCTGAGATACATGAGACCCTGTCACAAAAAAAGGAAACAAAAAGGTAATTTGGTGCTGTAGAGATGGCTCCTTGGTTAAGAACACTAGCTGGTCTTCCAGAGGTCCTGAGTTCAATTCCCAGCAACCACATGGTGGTTCACAGCCATCTGTAATAAGATCTGGTGCCCCCTGCTGGCCTGCAGAGGTACATGCAGACAAAACACTGTATACATAATAAGTAAATAAATCTTTAAAAAAGGTGGGATGGGTATTTACAGAGCAAGATTTCACTGTGAATAGCTATGGTTCAATCTTGTGAGGCGAGGGACCTAGGGTGTTTACCCACTCAGGACTGCACCTATGACAGTGTACAAAGGCAGGTCACACACTGGGATTAAACAGCTGGCATAAAAAGGCATCGGTCCCCCACTGATGATGAGCATGAAAGAGATCGAGGGGACACCAGGCTTTTGTGTGTGTGTGTGTGTGTGTGTGTGTGTGTGTGTGTGTGTGTGAGGTAGGGTTTTGTGTAGCTAGTTGCCCTCAAACTCCCCAAATAACTGAAGATGACATTGAATACCTGCTCCTCTTGCTTCTATCACTCCAGTGCGGGGGTGACAGGCATGTACCACCATGGCTGGCTCCCAAAAGATATTTGAGCAGTGCTCAAATGCTTAAAAAAAAACTGAGGGTGTGATGTGAGTTCATATAGGTTCAACACTGAAAGACATACACCACAGTCTCATTCAGACAGGCTGAGAGCGTTGACCTAGAGAATGGGCTAGCTGATGAGAGGCAGAGAAGTGGGGAGGGAGAGACACTACATCTTACATACTGCTATGGGAGATGCTCTGGGTTTTGTTTGTGGTGTTGAGCCCAGGGCCACACACACTGTGTTAGCACTCTACCATGCCACCGTTCCTACCCTGTGTAGACAATCATCCCATAGCCTTTAAAAGGTTCTCGTTCTCTTTTAAAAGACTTTTTAAAAAGTGTGTGTGTGTGTGTATGTGTGTGTGTGTGTGTGAGTGTGTGTGTGT